CCAGCCCCATGTACATCTCATATACCCTTGGGCATATTAAATGGCATTAGATGCCTTTATTAAGGCAACTGATTCCTACTTCCTGTTTGTCCTGCCACAGGTAATGGTGCAAATCCCTTCTTTGAGTATGATTGATACCTTCCCACGTGTTGCAAAGAAACTATGTTGTTGAGCTCAACTGAGTGATAAAATAAAATGAAAAATAAAACTGTTTTACATATTTAATTCAGTTACTTGCAATTAATGAGCCAATCTAGCGAAGGCTATAAGCTAAACTATGCTTTCCTATGCAAAACCACTTTATATATTAATCTAAACTCAATTTCTGTGTCTCTATTACAAATGTAATATCTTAAGAGTTTGACTTTTTGAATACACATACATATTCTGCTGGATTTAAAGTCATCTTTTTTTAAGTTTTTGCCTATTCCTCTTTAAGCACTGAATACAGACAAATTTGAGAATAGAATATCTGCCAGGTTTCAATAGGACCCTAAGTATTTGGAATCCCTATCAATAGAAAAGAGAGGGCAAGCTTTTAAAATATTCTATTTCACCTTTATCCTTCACTCTTTTCACAATTTACTATGATATGTACTTTTATTTTATTATGACTAGCTTCATACCTCAAATCTTCGCTTTGAAAAATAAGCCTAATTCCAAATATCCCTAGCAAAAAAAAGTCCTATTAATTTACAATACTTTTGTAATTATGAACTAGTTTCTCTTGCTAGCTCACACATGTTCAACTACACAGAATTTTTCTTGAGTCAAAATCAAGAGTAACATCTGGAAAATGTAGTGATAAATGAGAATTACTTATTTTTCTACAATTACAGAGGAACTGATGTGATTGGAGAGACACACAAACTCTGACATTAATTTCCATTGGGGAAAAAAATGATACTTTAGATTTTTCATGCAGACCCACTGATTTTTAACTTCAGGACTGAGTTTTGCCAGGGTAGCCATGGCAGGAAAATATTAGGCAGGTTCAGTTTTAAATCAGCATGAGAACTTACACATGGATGAGGGTTCTTTTTTTAATTCTTTGTGAAAAGGTGACTTTTAGAGAAAGATCAGGGCACAGGGATACAATTGCCTCTGAGAAACAAAACAAAGCAAGAAAACAAAAAAGAAACCTCACTGACATCCAACATACTTTCCATGTGAGAAAAACACAAACGTATGAGTGCTTCAAGACTGTCAAATGAACAGCTAAGAGAAACTGTGTTCAGTATTAGAAAGTCAGTCTGTCGCATTAATCAGTCTCACTAACAGACTTTAACAATAGGTTCTGACTAAATGGGCAGACAAATGGACACAACTGTTTAGTACAGATGCATAGACGGGTGGATTAACATTTACAGGATTTTAAAAATCTCTATTTTCTTCTTTTAAGAATGTATTTGCAATCCATTCTATACTGTTTTTTTACCTATATTTGCAGTCTGTACTACATTTACTATGTATGTAACTCAACTATTCTCTTATATGGTGTTTTGTGAATGAAACTGTTAGATTGAACCCTTTGAATCTAATTCATGAACTATTGTAACAGATTTCTAAAGCTTTGAAACTGACAGCCTATTGCAATAAAACACTACTATATTAATGTTAGTGTAAGAAAATTAAATAAAAATTTATATATTTTCATGTACAAAACTAAACTCAAAAATGAATCCTCTTTTAACAGGCTTTATGCCCGAATTTTCCAATTGTCAACCCTATCTTACATTGAGTCATGTATTGTTTGTCCTCTAACACCTGGTTGAAGCCTATAAAAACACAAAGATGGAAGAAAGAATAAAGCTGGCATGAAGTGTATCATATTATCACATGGCTATGCCTGGTTCAGATGAAATTTGGAAACTTGGGTAAACTAATAGCATGTAGACAGAATGTAAATGTTTGTGGCACCAATGTCTGGGAGTTTTGGCATTGATTTCCAGAGGTCCTAAATAACTACCCATGATTTCATGTATTTAAAATGTAACACATGAATTAAAGTTAAGTCAAAGTCAAGTGTGAAAAAAAAGGCATATTCCTCCTGCCTCCTATCTTACTCATCATACCAGATTATCAAAAAAAMCCCCTAAATTTTATAATACTCCATGAAACTTTAAAGTGTCTTACCAACAGATATATTATATGACCCTGACACTTTTAACTTAATTGTATAAAAACAAGAATCTCTAATCATCTTAAGCAAACATGAAAGTATATTCTAGATTATGCATGTTTTTTTGTCTTCGTATTAATGAAATTTCATATTTCAAGTTATTTATACTCATTATCATGTGTGTTATGAAACACTACATTACTGAGAAGCCAGAAACATACTTTTTCTAAATCTATAAAGAAAAAATCTAGAAAAATAACATTTGAAAATGATTTTTGACACACAAAAGCAAATCTAAAATGCGGAGCCAAATGTTTCTATCTGCAGTCATTACTCTAAACAGAGCTAATACATCATCAGATGTTGAAGGGTATTTTGCCAGGAGTAACAACATTTTGTTATCAAAAGTTAATAAGCTAAATACCACTTCTGCAAGCTCTTTTTATGAACAGCAAAAGTCTATTTCTCTGAACCAACAAATAGAACATGCACCAGAAACCTTTATACGCATGGAAATATAATCCGTTAATTTCATGCTCTGCATCTGTAAATCTTCAAAATGGGATTTCTCTGTGCTAAATTAATTTAGGTTGATTTAAATCAAACAAAAACACTGGATAACTAATGTGAACTAGAATTTCCTAGGACATTATTTTCTATCTTATAAATACTAAAGCTTCCACTTATTTTATTGACTAATTATGATTGACAGGCCATGTACAGAATAGCAAAAGCAAATCACCTCAGGATAAGTATAATAAATGTAATGTGAGCCTTAACCCACAAAAATATTCTCTTGAATGGGATAATTTCTCAAGTGAAGACAATCTTCATCCATAATTTGTTGACCATAACATATTAGGACACAAATTCAAGTAAAAAATATAATAGACTAAAATAGCCTGTTAGCAGGATATCTGCAATTTGTGTAAAATTCATAGCATAGATTCTGTTAGTTTTTTTTTAATATGCAATTTATATGAAATTGATAGCATTATGATTTTGCTGGGGGTTTTATATATATATATCTGTATATATATCTGTATATATAATTATACGGGGCTAGGTCATTCTGGTACTTTCACCAGAATAATTTTGTTAAAATCACTTGGGTTACTAAAACATATCATAGAAATATTTGGACTATTATTAATAAACTGGGTTTCATAAGCACACTTTACACAGGGGCTTACATTTTGGTCAGTTTACTGAAAGCAAATACATTTTGATAAACTTTCTGGTACTTGTACAACACTGAATCAGTATTTCAAACCATGTAAAGAAGACATCTGCTGACAGCCTTTGTACAAACTCTTCAGAGGTTTTTGTACAAAGAATATCCAACAGAGTAATGCTTTTGATGCTGCTGCACCATGGTCTAGCAATCATAGTATGTACAGGTAGACTATCTGTCTATGTTCCTTCTTCTTGTGATTATGACCTTAGATGAACTGGAGCTTACAATCTCACGTTAAATAAAAATCCAGCTTTTCCTCTGGTGTTTTTTTGTGTGTGTGTTTGTGTGTTTAAGCTTTCAATTACAACAGCTATGCTCTAAACTCTTCAAATCTTGCTTTAGATATTGCTGGTCTCTAATATTGTAAAAATGAAATAAATAGCCCTAAAAGTAACATATTGCTACAAACTGGTTTTATACAACAGAAATCCCAAAGGAATTCTGCTTTCTCTAGAACGAAAGTTCATCATGAATATGGTTTGTTTCAACCACTTGCTTCCAATGTTTAAAGTCCCTTTCCTGAGTGCCTCCAGGAGTATTAAGGTGAGGAAAAAAGCATTAATAAATATTGCTTTGATACTAAAAATAATTTATACAAAGGAATGTGTGAACCTCTTTAGTAAGAAAATGTCTTCCCCTCTTATGGAGACTACTTGTCTTTTTAAATTATGATTGCTTATCTTCTTAAATCTTTTTAGGCCTCTGTTCAGTAAAATACTTAAGCACAGTGTTTGATGTAAAACATAAGCTCAATTTSCACTGGATCTTAAGTATGCTTTTGGGTGACTTACTGAGTCACGGCCTTTATTATTAATATATCCTTTGAAAATAAACAATTTTCCAGAGCAAAAAAATCCAGGAAACTCAGGGAGTTTCTCTAATGGTTACTGTAATGAAAGGAGGGAGCAATGAGGAAAGTCTCTAAACTCAAAGCACATTGGAGCACTGAACATATCTCAGTATTTGGGAGTCTTCAGTCCTTACTCATTTGACTAGCATTTCCAGCCCAGCTTTCCTAAGCTCATTTCTGAAGAGCAGTGAAAAAGTAAAGCCATAATTTAGCAATTATAAAAAGGCCACATAATTAATCTACATTAAACTGGTAATGATGATGTAAAATACAAGATGACTGTAAAACTACACGGTGATAGAAGAAACAAACAGGTAACATTGTCTATGCAGTTTCCTGTTAACTATTTTCCAATGAGATTTTCAGGTTTGTCTTCTAAAATTGAYCACCAAAATTAACAACCCACATCATCCTTTTATAAGTATCTTCTTGCTACACGCCACCAAAGTAATGACAATGTAAAGAAAAAACTAAAAGAATGAATTAAAGAGGATGTGAAAAAATAAAGTAACAGATCCGTTGACAGACAGAAGTAGGTGTGGGCCAGAGGTTTCAGTGGAGTGATCAGTTTTGACCAACTGAGGCTTGGCCAAAAATATTTCCATATAACGACTGTATGATACATAATTCTACTAAAATATCACAAAGCAAACCATTGTTACTACTATGATGAGAGTAGAAGTATAATGGTCATTAAAATGACTTTCACTTTCATACTTTCAGTTTTAGTAAGGTTTTATATATAATGCTTTACGGGTACTTTGCAAAGCAATGATACCACAGATTCTTACCTGAGCTTTTATTGGTTTTGTTTTGCCTACTCTTTACTTGTTCAGTCCATAATGTAGGATACCGAGAAGCTATATCTAGAAGAAAGCAGCAAAACAACATTTGTAAATGTCACAGATTTTTAAGTTAAGAAACTGAATATTAACTGTGGGTTTTAAAGCTACTGAAACTTAAAAAAGAAAAGGGCATGCTATTTTCATTCATGAAAAGGCAAAGGAAAAATTTTACAGCAAAGTCTGGTGTCTTAACTCCTTTTGAAAACTTCCTCCCTTATTCCATTCATACAAAAATTTGAAAGAAATGCTTGTAGAATATAATTATATTTAATCAAAAAAATTATCATTTTGTCCCAAAACATGTAATAACTTTAGACCAGATTTTGCCAGATTTACATTGAGTGGTAAGTCTTAGCATAGGACTGCCATTGCATATACAACCCTTGAGCATCTCATTTATAGAGTAATGAACTTCACCAGACACAAATAACCCTGGAAAATACACAAACCTTTTATTAAGAAGTAATATAGTAATATATGGAYAGAATTAATCCTTCAATTTTCTTTTTTAGCCATACAATTTAATCTTCACTGTGGCTTAAATTTAAAACTATCTCTAGTCTCAGAAGTGACAATCAATTTGAAATTGTTATAATGCTGTATCAAAATTATCTTGTGAAATTTGTCATTCAACCTTATTCAACTTTCAAGTTTAAATTTCATTATCGTCATTCTAAAGCAGCATCTGGTGCTATGGTATATGGTCCCTTCTATACAGTTCAATATGATTCTCTTTCAGTTCTTAAGGATGCTCACCTTCTTCATCACCTTGAGGCTGAGTCTCTAGTGCAGGAGCTGAGGCATCATCTGAATTCAGAATGGAAAAGATTTGCAAGGAGACTACAATTATGAGAGTAAGCTAAATAAGTGTACATACGTGATTGATACTAATGATTTGCACATAGCCCCGGCCGGTAAACAAACAATAATTTAAGTATCATTAATACGTATTGCGAAGCATAGATATATTACACGTACAAACTACAGACTGTAGATGAGTGGCTTTTAAGTTATGACTGATGAACTGATTACAGGGTCTGTGATGAGATATGAAGTGATCAGGCCGCTTTACAGACAGTAATCCTTCATGATGTACATTGACTCCTATAAACTGTTAGCTGATCAGAGCGACGTCTCTAAAAAGTAATTGGATGAAAGCATATTAGGGGTAAATCCTCTGAAAGGAAAAACAGCCTGGGATGAATGAGTGTTGCAGACATGTCGACACCTTAAAATAAAAGGTATAGCAGAATCTATATCACAAACTGATTTTATTAGCAAGGTTAATAGACTAATGAATCAGAAGATTGTTTGCACTGCTCTTATCCTTCTGTCAGCCATCTCCATCCGTCCACAACCAACCATTACTGCAAGACAAGAGGGAGGAAAATTTACCAGAAATGATCAGCATATATGGATAATTTTTAGATTCATTATAATACATGGGAAGCAGTGCTGGAAAAGAAAATCTCAATATGAAAAAAAAATGTTTTCAGTTAGCAATTTTGAGAAAGCAATCTAAGCYAAAAGTATTCAAAGGCTCATCTTTATTTCCTATTACTTATCTAAAATTATTTCAGATTAAATAAACAGAACCTAGCAAGCCCTGATACTGCTCCTGCTGCTGTTTCCTACAGCATAGAACTAAYTCCAAGACCAAGGTGCCATGCAACTAAAAGTAATCTTCGATGTCTTTTACTAGTATTTCTTGCAGTTCCTCCACTGGGCCACAGACCAACATAGCTTCCAAATGCTTTCCCTCATATTTACACAGAGGTAGAAAAAAAGGTTACTGTGAAACTTCACTTGCATGTAGATCTACTGTGGTAATTCTTAAGGATAAGACTACTGTAGTAGTCTTAAGGATAACAAGCTACCTACTTCATTTTTCCTTTCTATCGCAACTCAGAACAGCTACCTCCTGTTCTCTTTGCTGTCAATCCCATAGTATTTCCAAGTCTGTATTGTCTTCATGCAGCACATGTAAAAGTATTGGAAGCACTCTCTCCTTCTCATTTGGAGCTGCAACCTACTTCATCGCAAATGCAGATACTATGTAAATCTTGATACTAGAAAAGTATCAAATTTATAGCCATGAAACACTAATCTCCATGGTTTTCACAAGCAGTAGCAATACAAACATATTTTCATTTCAAAGTGTTTTAACTCAAACATCAGCAGACTTGCTTTAAGAAATGCTCCTTCTTCATGTTCATGCAATGACAGGATACTTTGTTCCAATGACATATAAATGGCGTAAACTGTCACTTCTCATTAATTTTGATGGCATTTTTGTGATGTCTTCTGGGTGGACATTCATTAATTTCAGAGAGGCCATCACGTATTCCAGTGAACTAAGAATCATGACATACATGACATGGCATATATTTAGGACATCAATGATTCAGAAGGCCTGCAAA